TTTAGTACTTTCTGAATTAGAAGAAAAGAGTTTTTCCCAATCAACTTCACTACTTGGCACGATCTTATCATTTGCAAGCCTTTCATCAGCATTTTTAGAGAAATACTTATCTTCTCTGGTTTCTAGCGCTTCAAAAACCAATCTTCTTATTAATTTTGGAATAGTCTTATTTTGACACTCTGCTATATACTTTAAGAAATTAGACGTCTTTTTGCCGAAGCTTACTGTAAATTCGATAGCCACTTTTTCCCCTACTTTTTCATGTATGCCCCTTACTTAGTATATACATTTTTCATTGTTGTATATCTGAAAGCAGAAAAAAATTTTTTACTCCAACATTTTTATTGATTAGTTTTTAAATTAATATTATATGTATATATTACATCTAGTATGCATGGTATGATTAATCTTCACCCTAGCAGAGAATTCTGGGAAAGCAGTTTGGAAACTCATGTAGATCATTGGTTCAATAGTTTTAGAAATGAAGAAATACGTAAAAATTGGCTTTATTCTCTCTCAGGTAGGCAATTAAATGTCATTTTCCAACACCGCTTTCAAGATAAGCTAAACGGTCAATTATTTGCTGATAATTCCCTTCAGAAACATGATGATATTTCAGTTCAACAACAACGTAAAATGCTTATAGACTGCTCAGAGCTTCTATTGCATTACTATTTACTCAGTCATTTTAGTCACTTAAAGCTTGAGTCTGCTGTTGTTGAAGTAGCAAGCTCTAAGTTAAATAAAGAGTTAATTAAAAAGTTTCTGTGTAAAGATAATAAGTATGATAAAAAATCCCTTATCTTCATTTTATTTCATACTAATCCAGAGTTCATCAAGGATGTTTTTCACTTTGATAAAGTACAAAAGAAAGGTTTTTCATCTTTTATTTTGCAAGATTCTCCAAGACAAATGAAAGTTCCTTTTAAAAGTTTTCTATCAAAAGAAATTGTTCATGAATTGCTGCAAGAATATGACTCTGAGAAAGGTGATGGTTTTGAAACTGAGCTACGAGGCTTTTTCTATCATAAAAACCGTATCTATGTATTCATACGTCGTGCTAGTGATAAAGATTTGCTTTTTAATTCAAACCGTATTATTCATGGGTATAGACCGGATTGGATTCTCCTTGACTTTTCATTACATGGTAACCAAGTAAACATATCTTCTAAAAACCTCAACGAAATCATAAAAATAGCCAATAGTATTACAAGTAGATATTTTGAAGCTGAGTGTTTGTTTATTAGCATGAAAGATCACAATAGCATACTTCTTATAGCAGCATTTTTGCAGTCTTCTATAGAAGGTGCTGATCCTAACGTTTGCTCATTTGAGGTAAAATTTCGTTCAACTTATCTCAAAAAAGATACTTTTTTAGTTATAGCAACAAACCCTGTTAATTCTATTTCTCAGGAATTACAAATACTAAAATTAAAGCTTCAGCAAGATAATTCATTTGTTGAATCTATTCGTATTATATTTCAAGAGAAGAAAGTTACTCTGTTTTTTAAGAAGAATCAACATGATCCAAGTTATATTACCGTCTACTACTCAGAACACGTACTCAACAAAGAAGAACGTGAAAATTTTAAGTTATTAATGAAGGAAAACTATGGTCTTACAATTCTCCCGAAAGCAAGTTGCTGCAGATATTCTGGGATCCACTGACTCTTGGATTAATCCAAAAAATGATTATTTAGAAACAGCAGTATATTTGGCTGAACTTGGTTTTATTAGATTAAAGGAAGTTTATTTTGTTATCTGTGCCCGTGAAGAAGACCATTTAGATTGGCCACATGTATTCTATCCAGATTGTAGTAATGAAATCCCCATTAGTCCAGATTTTGATGAAGAGTGCGATGATATGCTTTGTGAGGATTGTTGCCGTTACATTTTGCCCAATACCCATCAAAAGAAAAGATTTCATCTTCTATCAACTGATCTTGATTTAAAAAAAATTGTAGATTGGTTTGAAAATTTACTACGTATCTCGCAATTAATCTGGAGAAAAGCTGCAGAAGGAGTTTATCACGTCAGTAGTCAGGACAGTATCGTAAATCTTGTTGTTCTTGATTTTTGCACTGATGCAGTACACCTAACTATAGATAAACTTAGAATTCAGCCAACAGTCTTAATTACTGTGAGAGAAAACGTACCAGACTTACCAATTGCTTTACCTGTTGTAAAAATGACCGATCTTTTTTGTGAGTGTAGAACATTAGATGAAGTGCTTTTTGAAGCAGTGGAAAAAGGAATACCAAAATTAATTTTCAATGCCTCTCAGCAAATTCTTCCTATTGTTCCACTACGAGAAACAAAACCTGAACTACCAAAACAACCTCTACATCTACAGTTTACTGGTGGTGTAGTTTATATTAATAACATTGAAGTAGTGAATAAACGAGCTAAACTATGCATCAGTATTTTTGATGTTTTATTTCAGCAGTTTCTTCATGATTTTAGTAATGATGTGCCAAAAGAAGAGCATAAACCACTTAGCATTGAAAAAATAGCAGATCTGTTGAATTTTCATTCAGAAATTACAGATTTAGAACAACAGATAAGGAATCCTATCAATAAAATGCAAAGAACAATGAAAGAAAAACTAGCCAACCAATTAGGATTAAGCATCAAACGTGATGATGTTATTCAAACTATTGGTTGGCCAGAATTAGCTTGCAAAGAATATGGTTACCGTCTTAATCCCTTTACACTGGTATTAAAAAAGTGAAGTCTTTAAATACTGCTGGCTTGTGGATACCAACTGCCATTAACCTTACTAATAAACTTTTTTGGTAAGGATTGACCGTTCTTTGACTCAAACATCAATTGACGAACATTTTTCTCTTCTATTGGCTTTAACATGAGCATGCCAGAAGTATATACATTCCTTAAACTACTTGCACCACTTAAACTCTGAAAAGGATTTTCTTTAGGAAGCTTTTTATTGATGTTGTGGGTTAATATAACACCTGCATTTGAATTGATTGTAGAACGTAACTTTTCTACCCTATCTTGCAAAAAGGCATACATTACGTCATTATCATTTTCATTTCTATAATTGAAGACATTGCGTAAAGAATCAATAACGATAATGTCTACCTCTGTTGGGTTAAAGAATTGTTTTACGGTGTTATAGACTTTATTGATATTGTTTTTGTCAAGTAATAACTGGGCACCAGAAGTAATAGCAAAGTTACTTTCAACTAGGTTCAAAAGTTTGTTGTCAATCTTAAGTTGCTGCAACCTCTCTCGCATGTAGTGATAACCAACGTCAGTCTGTATATAAAAGATCTTCAAAGGCTTTGCTGGTACCATATCAAAGAATGGAATACCTGCTGACATATATGTAAGCCAAGAGATCAAAAAGTCAGTTTTTCCCACTTTAGGAGAGCCACCAAATACTAGTAATCCTCCTGGGGTTAAGATTCTTGGAAAAATTATATCTCTTGGTATTGGTGATTTATCGTGTAAGTATTGTTTAACAGAAAAAGCAGATATGTTGTCTTTAGCTACTGCATTGTTTGATATCAGTAATTGGTTTATATCTATTCCTTCTGCAATAGCATCAATTGCATTCCATCCATCTTTCTTGCCCTCAGGAATGTTCAAAATAGAACAATGGCTAAGTTTATTTGCTATTTTTTCAGCATATTGTTTACCAGCTTCGTTATTGTCTGGCCAAATGATGACCTGCTTTCCATTAAGCAGTGAAAAATCTGTTTCATCTATTGATTTGTCGGTACCGAACATTACAGTTGTTGCAGTAATACATTGATGCATTAGTCTTTTAGCACATTTTTCTCCTTTGACTACCACTACTCTTTCTGATTCTATGATTTCAGGAATATTGAACAATGGTTTTGGAAATGAAATATCACTACTACACGTTTTAGAGTTCCAGGTATAGCAACAATTAGTATTATAGAAATAGACATAAATAATATCTTCTCTGCTCTCATCGAAATAAGTAAATATTTCAACATTTAGCCACTCTGATATTGAGTTAATCACTTTAGAAAGTTTAGCCTGACCAGTAATCCGAGCCCAAAGACTTATTACATCACCACTTTTGCCTGTAGCTAAGCTAGACCAATTTCCTGCTTTCATATCAACTATAATTTGATCTTTTTGCACATCAGCAATAAAGAGTTTCTTTTTATAAAATTTTCCATTTTGGAAAAGATGAGAAAGACACGGTTTAATATTGTGAAGTAACAACGACTTGATACCTAAAACGTGTTTAGAATCTTTCCACAAGAAATTCTCTGTAATGTTCCAAAAATCCATATAACCTCCATTTTACTTTAAAAAAATCTTTTTTGAAAAGTGACTTATAAGTTCCAATTAACTGTTTGAGGGCTTTTCATGAAACTTGCATAATTGCCATGCTCTGGGGTGATGACCGAAGCAATCTTATTCTTTTCACCATATATGTTAGTTTCAACACCGACTTTCACTACACACTGCAGACCATTTAGCTCTGAAATAGACTTAATCTTACGGGCAAGGTTTGCTTCTTCGCGATCGTCGTGAGGATAGATATTACGGGCTGATTCAAGAATACTCCTGATCATAGAGCGGCCTATTTTTCCCCAAACATCTTCTCCTTTCTCGGTTACTTTACTTCCCTGAATACCAAAAATCTGATAGATCTTGCGTCTTGCATATGGACCTTCTACCACAGTAAATTCAAGGTTTACATATATACTATCAGTATCCTTACTCTTTGTTAGTAATCCATTTGGTCCATAACCCCCAGGAAAAATCTTTACTACTACCTTTGTTATAGTACCAGCAGGTATTAAGCTACTCCTTAGCTTTACAGTGTTAAAATCAGTTAAAAAATCTCGTATCATAAAGTACACTCCAATATAAAATTCGTTAGGTTAGAAATGATCCTTCTGCTGCTCAGTA